ATATTGCTGCATCTGCGCTGCTTAAAGTGCCTTAGATTTTGTGTTGGTTATTTATCTACTTTATATTTCATTTGTATTTTGTGGCATTCATGTGGACGGCAAAGTAAGAATTTCATTGTACAGGGAAACACGTTTCCTAACTGCGCATATGACAAAATAAACACTTTGAACTTAATCATGATTTAGGCCCCCTGGCTCATCATTTGAAGACAACTGTAAAAAACCTAGGGGTAACGTTTGACTGTGACCTAAAATTCAACAAGCAGATCAACTCAGTCGTAAAATCTAGTTTCTTTCATGTCAGGTTGCTAAGTAAAGTCAAGTCATTTCTTTCTTTTAATGACTTTGAGATTGCAATTTATGCTTTTATAACTTCTAGACTTGACTATTGTAATGCATTATATCTTGGTGTTAATCAGTTGTCTGTCTCTAGTTTTCAAATGGTCCAAAATGCTGCTGCTTGTCTTTTAACAGGTTCTAGGAAATTCGACCATATAACTCCGGTACTGGCCTCTCTTCACTGGCATCCAGTTTGTTTTAGAAATCATTTTAAGCTATTGATTTTTGTTTTTAAGGCTCTTAATGGTTTGGCACCGCTTACCTCGCTGAGTTGGTGAGGTGGCACGAACCGACTAGATTACTCAGATCCTCAAGCCAGTTTCTGTTAGAGGTGCCCAGGACCAGATACAAACGCTAGGGTGACCATGCTATTATTGTTGCAGCTCCTAAATTGTGGAATGGTTTACCTTTTAATGTTAGATCCTCTACAGAGTTGACAACTTTTAAATCATTGGTTAAAACATATTTATTCACTTTGGCTTTTAATACATAGTGCTGTCTAATGCTTCCTCCTTTTATCTGTTGATTCTGTGTACTTGGTGTTTTTAATGTTCCTATGTTTTATTTCTCTACTGATAATTTTTACTCTGGATTTGCATTGCTGTGTAAAGTACTTTGGTCAACCAGACATTTTTAAAGTGCTATACAAATAAATTTTGATTGAAAGTTGTGGAGAAGTTTAAAGCAGGATTAGGTTATAAAAACATATCCCAAGCTTTGAACATCTCATGGAGGACTGTTCAATCCATTATCCACATACCATCCCCACCGTGAAACATGGTGGCAGCATCATGCTGTGGGGATGTGTTTCTGCAGCAGGGACAGGGAAGATGGATGGAGCTAAATACAGGGCAATCCTGGAAGAAAATCTGTTAGAAGCTGCAAAAGACTTGGGACTGGTGCAGAGGTTCACCTTCCAGCAGGACAAGAGCTACAATGGAATGGTTTAGATCAAAGCATATTCATGTGTTAGTATGGCCCAGTCAAAGTCCAGACCTAAATCTTATTGAGAATCTGTGGCAAGACTTGAAAATTGCTGTTCACAGGCGCTCTCCAATCTGACTGAACTGGAGCTACTTTGCAAAAAATAATGGGCAAAAATTGATTCTAGATGTGCAAAGCTGGTAGAGACATACCCCAAAAGACTTGCAGCTGTAATTGCAGCAAAAGGTGTGTTGACAAAGTATTCAAGGGGGATTGAATACATATACACACACCACACTTTTCAGATTTTTATTTGTAAAAAATCTTGAACACCTATCATTTTCCTTCCACTTCACAATTATGTGATACTTTGTGTTGGTCTATCACATAAAATCCCAATAAAATACATTTAAGTTTGTGGTTGTAATGTGACAAAATGTGGAAAAGTTCAAGGCGTATGAATACTTTTGCAAGGCACTGTATGTATAAAGACTACTGCAGATATGACTACAATAATTTGTTTTTGCTGTGTGTGTGTGTGTGTGTGTGTGTGTGTTTATAGCAGGGAAGCAGACTCCTCTGTGTTATCCCAGCAGTGTGACATCAGCTCGGGCCATGATGCTCTTCAACCTGGGCAGCGCTTACTGTTTGAGGAGCGAGTATGACAAGGCCCGCAAGTGCTTACATCAGGTAACCATGACAACAGCTACATCACTTGAGCAGACCCTGGCAATGTCTGGAGTTGTGTATATATTCCTTAAATACAGTATTTTAAAGTTGTATTCAGACTGACCATAATCCTGCTTCAGAGCACAGAAACACTGGATAAACTTTTGCTGCAGCTAAATACAGCCTCATATAGCAAAATACAGTAGGCCTATGACCAAGCATAGGTTAGTGGCTCACCCTTAGAGAAAAACAACTGATCATTTTCTTTGAACCCTTACAGTGAAGTAAAAATTTGAAGCTCACCCAGTTGTAATGTGGTTTGTCTTAGGCTGCATCTATGGTGAACACCAAGGAGATTCCACCTGAAGCTATCCTGTTGGGGGTCTACTTAGAGCTACAAAATGGTCAGAGTTCCATCAAATGCATGACACACCCTATATAAAAGCTAAGGAGATTCTTCTCAATGTCGGTTCCTTTCATGTGTCACAGAAGATTAAAAAAAAAAGGAAATTAAAACTTGTATAATAATGATGTTGTTGTGCTAATCGCATGGCTAGGGGCTCTGCTCACCTCTTATTTCTACAGTCAGCTGACCCCTCTCCAATCATTCGAGACTGGTTTCTTTCCATGTCTGTGCAAGGAGGAGAGTGGTAGTAAAATACCTCATTTTATTATCAAATACCCAGGAATTACTTTAAGTAACCTAATATTCCTTAGCTAATTTCACTTGGTGTTTCACTATGAGACAGCCCACTCCTGGAGTGAAAGAGCTCTGCAGAAACTGTAAAACAGAAATGACCCGGGACTTGATAAGTTTGCAGCTTAGACCCATCTATCCCCCACATAGCATGGGGCTAGCGATTGCATTGACTCATTTAACCTAAGTTTAAAAAAATACTGTAAAATACACAAATGTGCATGATTCTGGTGTAATTGGCTCTCAGCTGTGGAGGAAGTTAAGAGCCCTTTCCTTTATATGCCACAGATGTGGCCTCCACAATCCAGGGGGACAGTCTTTGATAGGTTAGTGGTTCAACCTTATGGGTAGGGCCCATGAGACAAACACCTGATCATTTTCTTGAACCCTGCTGTCCTGCCCACATAGAAGTGCTGGGCTTGCACAGGGCATATAATGTGTCAAGCCTGTCTTCCTCCACTGAGAAGAACAGAGCGGGATGGAAAGCCATAATCTCCAGATTGGGACACCTGTGCACTGAATCCATAGCTTTAGGCACAAATGCAGGTTTGGGGTTACACACCTTAGGGAGCCCCGGAGCCAACTGCAAATAAGGATAAGGATAATCGCCTTATCGCCAAGTATGTTACACACAAGGTACAGAACCGAGGCAGCCATCTGCGGCGCCAACTCAACCATCGGGGACGTTCAGTGTCTTGCCCAAGGACAATTCAACGTGTGAACTGCAGGCACTGAGAGATTCGAACCTTCAACCTTCCGGTTGGGAGACAACTGCTCTACCCACCGCACCACTGTTGCCTCCCTCGACAGTAGAGTAAGCGAGACAAAGGGACAATGCCTGTAGATCACACTCACTTTAAGCTGTAATAAAAGATAAAAATAGTGCATTCTTTATAAAGAGAAATTTTATATCCCTTTGATAGTCTCAAAAGGTGGTGAAAGATTTCCTTATAGCATGATCGTAATGTCAAACAAAGAAACCAGGGGCTTAGAAACTGGGAGTTTAGCCCTTCATAAAACCACAAACTAGAGAATGCTAGTTTGCTAGCTGGTTTGTGACTAAAACTCATATGCAATGCTGAAATCATTGCCAGATAGACTTAATTGTGGAAAAAAATGTTCCCCTTCTCCAGCAGCTCCTGAAGGAAACACAGTACCTCCACTACTGAACACTGAAAAAGAATCACCTGTCTAGAATCACACCATATAACCAGAGTTGTGTCCCTCCGCCAACCAGTCAAATTCACAGGAATGGCACAGATGTGAGGTTGCTATGACCTTGACCTTATACAGCTAAAATCTAATCAGTTATACTTGATTCCAAGTGGACATTTGGGTGGAACCCTGAGGACAGCTCGACGTCTGTCACAAATGTGGTGTCAATTGGAGCTTCCAGAGTTGGTCGCGCTGAGGTGATTCCCATAGTGAAACATTAAGTGAGATTAGAAAAAGAAGATTCTTTGAAGATTTGGGAAGTATTGTTCTTATAAGGGGTAGGGTAGGGTAAGGTAGGGTAGAACTTTATTGATCCCACAGTGGGGAAATTCCAGTGTTCCAGCAGCAGTAAGGGACAAAAACAACAGAGAGCAAGCAACAAGACACCATAAGAACAGATATCACACACCGATCTTGATAGACAAATTCAGAAAGCACGGAAAGAAAAAAACACAAAAGAGGACAGAGCTACTGGAACTTGCTGCCGCTCCGTGCGGCGCGTCTTAAAAAACAAATCGAGAATACCCAAAAAACAAGACAGTACTATAAGCTCAAGAGTCACAGGCAAGAATTCACACTTCCAGTCCAGAGATCTTCCAACCCCCAGGCTGCCAAAGCAGCCCGGAAACCCAAAAGACCCCGACCCAAGCATTGCTATACAATATTAATCCTTTCTGGGCTGTCGAACCGTGACGTCACCCGATAAGCAAGCCTTGCAGCTGCTATAACGTTTAGCCAAAACATGAGGAAAAGTCAAGGTGCGTGACTGTTGTTTTCGTGGTGTGTATCTAAAACAATTGGACATAACCTTACACATTAAGACAAATATTAAGACTAGCATTACAGTTGACACTAACAGCTCTTTTCCTGTAACCTTGACCTGCCTGCAGTCTGCACTGCAAGTACATTACTGAAGAGTTAACAGCCTGAGCTAGTCAATCTGTCTCCACTAACATTTCTAGACAACCGATCTCTGAATATCTATCTAACTAGGAAATAACCTAACAGTACAAGCATTTCAGAGAAAACAGCAAACACCACAAGGATCTCTTAAAAACAAATCAAGAATCTTAAAAAACAATTCGAGAATACCCAAAAAAACAAGACAGTACAAGCATTTCAGAGAAAGTCTGGAACGGATATCGCTCTCACTCAAATCACAGACAGGGCAGTCTGTAGTCAGAGGGGGAGGGGCGGAAGTGTATACATTCCTAGCATTAGCATACGGTATGGCCCAGAGTTTTATTGTTCTTTGTGTAGGAGGGTGGCAGAGAGGGGGAGGGAGGCATGGCATGGTTGAGGTCCCCGAGATAAGAATTAGGGCCTGCAGGTGCTGTGTCCGCCGAGACACTGTGCGCCTGCACGCAGCAGCAGAGCTGGCCCGGGGATCAGTGGAGAACCGTCACCACGGACCACAGATCCTGGAATCCTGATGAAGCGCATGCAGGACCTCTCCTCCTGCACACCCGCTACAGCTGCGCCAGTACGGCCATCAGTGGAGAATTGTCCCCCAGCGCCTCACTCCAGCTCCTCTCCCAGTGCTTTGCTCCAGTTCTGCAGACTCGCCCCTCTCATCGCATCCCCATAGGAATCCCCGGCAACTCACAACAAGGAGGTCGACTGTTGGCAAACAGAGCAAACAGTCGGTGCTGCGACACAAGGGTCCCCCCGAGGCAGACTCGAAAGCTCGTAAAAAAGTACAAAACACGATGCAAACGCAATAAAACTTGTATCCCTGGTAGCCTAACTCCACAAGCGTTTACGGAAAAGAGACATAGCAAAAAAAGCAAACACAGAAGCCCAAGGAAACAAAAGAGGCAGAGCTGTTGCTGCCGCTGCGCACGGACATAACAGTACTAAAATCAGGTATGATCCTAAAGGTCAATGTTAGAACTGATCCAGGTACATTTCAGTGGATCGAAAACAGCTAAATTAAAGATGATTAAAATCCAATTTTTTCTTTAATGCATTTTCTTATCAGTCTGCTGGTAGCCATGCTTTGCACTGCGAGCATTACATTCTGTATGCAACTGAAAATTTGTGTGTGAATATGTAAAATCATTTGGTTGCACTGGTGAGTGACAATGACTTTCTGAGCTCTGAAGGTAATTTATCTGTTGTAACAAACTTGAGTTGTTCATTGATTACTATTATACCACGTAACAATACGTTAAGATTGGGGCACCAAGCTTTTTCTCTTGTGAATGAAACGGTAAACATCCAATCACTTATTATTAATGTAATTTCTCAGTGTGGAGTAGGGAATCCTTAGACAGGGACTTCTAAACTACTATAATCTAAATAAAGACAGATGAAATGGAGCACAATAATGGCTGAAATGGACTGAACAGATTAACTAATGAACAGTGATGGTGGAAGGCTTATATTGAGGCATAAACTAGGTTAGACTTTGGATCTAAGCTCTATGACTTAAATCAGCAGTCCCCAACCTTTTTTGTACCACGGACCGGTTTCATGCATGAAAATTTTTCCGCGGACCGGGTAGAGGCGCAGGGGTTCCAATAACAAAAATATTTGTCAGTTCATAGTATGTAATCTGAATGCAACAATTACACTTTATATTAGGCAATTACAATAATTCTACACTATATCAACTCACCATACTGTAGAGTCAGTGGGAGCCCTGGGCTTGTTTCCCTGCAAACGAGATGGTCTCAGCTAGGGATGATGGGAGACAATGACGCACGCAATATGTTCCTTATGTCCAGTCTGCTCCATAATTTTGTCTTGGTTGCTGTCATTGCAGAAAAGCCCGCTTCACAAAGATACGATGCTGGAAATGGTAGCAGGGTTTTCAGTGCTCTTGTGGTGATTTCAGGATATTCTGGCTTGATTTTCATCCAGAACATCGGCAGAGTTGTTGTCTCAAACGTACGGTTAAGGTCACCGTGATTTGCGATCTCCAGCAGCTGATCTCTTGTTGCACAGACATGCAGAGGGGCCTTGGTGCGTGAGAGTCACCTATTGCGATAAACCCGTATTTTAAGTATGACTCCTGATATTGTCTGTTAAAAGAAGCGTTCTTTTTCTTGGAGGTAGTGGGCTCCTCTTCTGGCTCCTCAGTTGGCCTTTTCCCCTTTGAAAAGAAACTCTTCAAAGGCGTTTGTTTTTTACTCATTTTTGCTAGTTTGCGGGGTTATTTTTTTAGTAATGTATCGTGTGACGTGACCGACACGCATCTTGACGTGTCAAGGGGCACAGGTGGATGATACGCCGGAGAAAATCCCGTCGTTTTTCATAATAAATCATCTTCCAGACTCTAAAAATCAATGCAATGGAAATTATATAAATTATTTATTCTTTCTGTTACGGCCCGGTAACAAATGCCTCACGGACCTGTACCGGGCCACGGCCCAGTGGTTGGGGACCACTGACTTAAATGACAATTTGGAAAGGAAAAGAATCAAGTTTCTGGAAGTTATGGAATTTTAAAATAGACATCAGCTTAGACACAAGAGAGTACTTAGCTTTCAGCTGTTGAGCATGCTGAGGTTGCATGAGGCCTGGGTGGAGGTGTGGTCAGGCTTTCAAGGTCTTTGGGCTCAGCATGGACACTTCCCTGGTCTGTGGGCTTAAAGAAGGATCCCTGGTTGCCCTCTTTTTGCAGTGTGTCTTCTCCCCAGATCTGGGTGCCATTCAGCTGATGGCTGGGCTGGAGGTCCACCTTCTGTGTGGCTTTTTGGGTTGTGTTGAGCTAATCAAGTCTAGTTTAACATTGATCTCCACTTAGTCTGATGGCATTTACTATGGCTTAAAACACAGTTTGGGTGAAGTCAAATTTAGTTTAGACTTCGTCTTCTAAAACTTTGGCCGGGTTTTAAAATTTTAAAACTTAACTTCAGTTGGGTGTTGTCTTGCCTGTTTACAAATAAGAGGAAAACTGAAAAATCCAAGTAACAAAAATTATTAGACAAATATTACTTGTAGTGATGCTAGCATTCGACAAAAATGTAATTAAATGCAAAAACATGGAAAAATGTGAACAACAGACAGGAGGAGCTTGCTTTCTGCAAAAAAGAAAATGGAATTCATGCATTCTGGTAGAATCTTCTCACTTTTAGCCAACACTGTCATTTTTATCAGGTAAACTGACAAACATCACCAACGGCAGATATGACCTGTGACAAATTTAAGTTGATTCAGATAACAAGAAAATATCAAACCTGTCTGTTGATGGGTTTGTGGGCTCACCGCAGCTGCTAATGCATTATTACTAAAATCATCATTATTAAAAATAGAAAAAAAATGAATAGCAGTTGTGGCATGATACTGATATCAGCACTGATCATGCCAAGAAGTACTCATTGAATACTCTAAATACTGAAAGTAGTCTCACCTTTGTCTATTGATGCTTGAATTAGCTTCCAAATGAGTTCAGCTGATCTGAATGATGTGGTTTATAACCTAAGGTTCCTTTGGTATGTGACTGAGAGGTTAAAATCAGGAGATAGATGCTTAATTTGTGTTAAATATCCTCAGGAAATACCCAACTGGCCCTGCAGATCATCAAACGGAATCAGCTCCTGCCCACTGCAGTGCAGAAGGTCTCTCCAGACTCCCGCAAGAAGGTACTCCAGCCCTTCCAGTCTGTCCAGGCCATCCAGCTGCCCTCATCCTTCACACAAGTACAGCGCAAATGAGGCTATGCAGACACCTCTTATCCTTCACTCCATACAACGCCACACACACACACACACACACACCCCTGAGGAGCTTTGATATAAGCTACTTCCCCTCAGCCTCAGGAGCTGTATGAATTGCAAATGCAGCTGCTGAGACAGAACCTCAGCTGCAGTGGTGTCCATGGACTTGAGACCAGCTCACTTTTTTCCATGTGACTAACATGCTGTCTGAATAAGTGTAATAAATTTTATTTACTGTATCAAACGTGTGACTTGAATATCTACTTGCTAGGTGGGCTGTGAAACCCACAAGATGGTGTTGATGTTGGTCACAGTTTATGTAAGCAGGGCATTTTGCTCTGTATGTACAAGAAACAAGCACTGACTCTTTTCTATGCCAAGCCTCAGCTGTGTTGTTACAGCATCCACACTATGCTCTTCTGTTCTTTATTGTGTGGATGCTGTAACATCCACACTGTTTTCCTCTTATTTATTATTATTCTGATTTCTTCCGTACGTAAATGGTGTAGGTGTCTGCATAGGAAACCTGACACAGATCACTTGGATTTGTGTGGTTTACCTGGTAGCCATGAGAAGGGCCTGCTTCTTCATTGTGACATACTCATCTTCCAATGTCAGCATACGATACCTTTGACAACCCTGTAGGCACTTTTACCTCTGTACAGCTCTGAGGACTGTCTGCTGGTTCACCTGTTGCTGTACGCTGAAGGTCATTCATCCTCTGCCAGCAGATTCACAGCTTCTGACTTGTTACCCTTCAGTGCCGTTATGTTCAAAGATCAAAAATATATACCCTTTGTCTGAAATTGACAGCTATTTATTGGAGATGTAATTACAATCACACAAAATCATAAATACAAACTGCTTGCTTTGTAAAACTTATTTCAATTCTGCCAGAAGAATTAAACTCCACAGAAAACAATTTAGTTGAAATATTTTTCTCCTACTCACAAGTTACCACAACCAAACTCTTATCTGTCCTTATCCTCAAATGTTTCGACTTACCAGCAGAACAACCAGCAACCAAATCTTATAATGGTTGTATTTTCAATGTTAGACGCAATGTGCATTCCCTAAACCCCTTATATACACATTTGTGTAAAGTCTTGTATTCAAAATCAACACCACCATTCTCGTAGTCGGGTATCTGGTGAGATGATGCTTTGCAGGATTCCACTGGGTGTTGATCAATAACGCTGTGTCTGCAGACAGGCATCCTCCACTCCAAATAAATCCAGGTCCTCCTTACTTTTTTGTTTTTATTTAAGATTACAACAGCAAAATACATACATTGACTTTTTGAAATAGCATGAATGAATACAGATATTTGATGTCAGATCAAACCTTTGAGTATAAACCTGGACAAGCCTGGAATGACCAACAGCAACATCTACAGTGCTCTTATTTTTCGGGTCCAATTCTGTATTCTTTTTATACATTTCTCTTTTCTCAAGAATAAAATATGAATTTGTGTTATGGTGAGCACTCACAGAAGCGAGTCAGTGAACAGGCTGGACCCAGATGGCAGGTGCAATACTGATCACAAACTTTACTGCACTGAGAAAACAAGTTATGAAGATAACAGTCAATATGGAAATATCCGCCAGAGGAGGCAGAGCTCGAGGGGTCCACAGATGGGGAGCTGGAGGTGGCAATGCAGGGCAGATGGAGGAACCGAAGATAAGCTGAGACAGGTGATTATAGCCAGCGAACTCAGGTGGGGTAGAGCGGAGATGGCTGGGCCCGAGGAAGATGAAAGATGAATGGCAGCAGGTCACACAGGCAGAGGCTGAACGGAGAGAGTCAGAGGTGCAGATCGCTGGAGTAATGACGGGAAACCAGTATAGGCAGAAGCCAGGACCTGTAACAGAAAATCAGAAGAGAAGAAAGAGAGAGAAGGGAGAGAGGCAGGTGGCATAGAGCGAACCTGACAACCTGTACATCTGTATTCACTTCAATGCCACACTTCTGCCTTAACATTTGTGTTTATGAAACTCAAAATGTTTCAGTTTTTGGTGAGAATCTCATAAATGTATGAATTCTATTATATGTTCATTATTGAGGTCATAGTTAAAGGTGGTGTTGTAAGTTAAAAGACGTCCCTTCGGGACAAATAAAACGGATTAAACACCAAAGGCCTGTTTAAAAAGGTGAGTTTTTAAAGTTGACTTAAACACCGCTAGCTTGGTTATGGATCGAAGCTCTAGCGGTAAAGAATTCCAGAGTCTAGGGCCATACACAGCAAAAGAGCGGTCGCCCCATTTTTTTTTTTATATCGAGACCGTGGGACAACCAGGGACAAGTGCTCTGAGGAGCGCACAGCTCTGCGCGGAGCATAGATAAATAGCAGATCCGACAGATACGGCGGAGCGAGGCCATATATAGCCTTAAAGACAAATAGCAACATTGATAGTTAAAAGTCTCAGCCACAGCCCTGATCTGCTTATCAAAATTAAAGCCGCTATCAAATATCACTCCAAGGTTTTATCTCTGAGTGAGGGGGCTGAAGCACCTAAACTGGATACAACCGTGGCTGGATTGGGGATAATAATATATTCATTCTTGCTCATTTAAATGAAATGAAATAGGAGAAACCACGAAGTCCATACTATAATCTGTATTTGCACCAGCTCCATGTGAAAATGACATCTGTCTGAATTTGTAGAGCACATCTCATGAAAGTAGCAGCACCATTTAAATGTTTTAACACAAAATATAAATGAGTATATAGGGTTACAGTCAGACGTGCCACATAAGAAACATGGTCTTCAACATGTGTCCATGCATATTTTATATTTTATTGTGTCAGCTTGAAACCATACAACCATGTAGTGTAGTCGAACAGGAATGTGCATGGCGAATCAAATCCCAATCCATGAACCAATAAGCGACACGTCTTGACTGCACTTCAATTTCTTGACCACTAGATGTCCTACTGGAGCACTGTGTCATTGAGGCCTCGAGTAATGAACCATTTGTGTGAACACTGTGTCGAAGCTTCAACAAGGCCTCATCGGCCATCACTAACTAAGAGTCAGACATTTGCTAGTAGCATCTGTTAATCATGGCCTGCATGCACATTACCTCATTACCTTATGCAGGAGTGTGGCTTGTGCTGTAGCCAGCAGAAATGATGTTATGGGAGAGAGCAATAAGTTAGCTGTTTCAACTCCCATTTACCACTTATGCTGCCATGTGAATTACTCTGTGCTCTTACCTTTAGCGCTGCATTATGTTTATCTATTAAACCTTCAGTTAACATGGTACCATTAGCTTAGCGGTTGACATTAACAACGTTGCTAACGAGCTAACTCTTATCTCGTTAATGAGCTCACAAGTAGTTCCGTCTTTGCCATGTCAGAAGGGTTAAATTTGCCCTGAGTTACATATAAGCAAGTAGCCGGTTGTATGTCTTTTAAACCACCTAAGTTGTATTTTTACCGTTAAAAAAATTTTAAGTGCACTCACCCAAAAACACCGAAGACTGACAGACAACTCACGCTAATACGGTTCAGCTGTGTAATGGCTGCATTCAGGGGCACTCGGAAATCCCAGCATCATGGTTGCATTCAGGGGCACTCGGAAATTCCCGCTTCGGGAGTCGCAAAAGTTGTATTCAGTGACTTCTATACCTGAAATGCATTACTTCAAACGCTCAACCTATCTATCATACTATTACTCAGTTGTGCATATTGAATATAAATAATGCACATAATAATGCTCCCTTCATGAAACACTTCAGCACTTAGTTCTAAAATGTGCTTCAGTGAAACTACAGCCGATGTTGTTGCCATTCTCTGAACCTTGTGGATTGTGTACCACTCCTCTGTTTCAAATTGTGTGCTCTTTCTATGTACACTAGGTCAGTGTTTCTCAACTGGTGCCACCCTGGGACCCACTTTGCCACCCACTTGTCAAGTCGCGACCCACCAGTACAGGATTTCAAATAAATTAATTAAATTATAAAGCTTTTTTTTAAAAACATAGTCAGTACAGCCTTTGTGTCAGATTTTTTTGTCTGCATTGAGGAAATGTTACTCAAAAATAAAAATAAACAACTGCTGCATAACACAACATAAATACAAGTCGAATAACACAACAGGGTGCAGTATATGTATAAAACTGAATGCAGAACTGCAAACAACATGATAATACTTTATAGTCTCTTTTCACTTAACATGTAAGCAAGATTTTATTTTACAGTGAACTAACGAGATAGCTGTAGTTGTCCTTTAGTTTTGACAAGAGTTTCAATGTCTGGGCTGATAATAGACAGCTACTCTCATATCATGAATATACAAAGGCATGAAATCAACAATCAGCCATCTCTGATGTAAAATAGCTCAGAGGTGTATCATGAATCTTCAATTGGTAGGCATACAGAGCACAGCACTGTGGTACAATTTCCCAATGTCACCAAGGAGCTGAGTCGAGTACTGAGTACACTGTATGTGTACTACATTTTCTGTGCACCTTCTATTGTGATTATGTACGCATCATAGATTGCAGGGGCTAAAGGGAATTTGTGAGGTTGAGGAGCTAGTTGGAGGGGGTTCCACTGTTTTCATAGTTCTTCAACAGAGAGGAGTTCTAATGAAACTGTAGACACTGCAGTCTATGGATGTGGATTATTCAGAGTAATAATGGAAAAAGGGATCTCAGTTTTCTAATTGTCAACCAACCACCCCCCCACCCCCCAAACACACAAATACAGAAATATTGCCAGTGGATTTTTTTTTTAAAAGTTAAAAATATTTTTTCAATTTATGGTTCATTACTGCCCGCCAGTTTAAGTGTCAGTTTCCCATGCTTTCAGTAATGCCAGTGCAAATGCACATTTTATTATATTTGAGCAGCATTAGTAAAAACTGCCTGTAATAATTCATTCCACACACCAGAACAAATATTGTGGTTCTCCAGAGGAAACAATATTTGACCTTTTGCTGAAAATAAAAATGAAGTGGCAGCTCTGATGCTGCTTGTCTTGAATTTCACTGTAGAAATTGTGAATATGTGATGGCTCACTTCTTCACTGTGCAGAAAACATTTAAGTTAATAAGCCCATTGTCAGTTCACAGGATCACATTAAAAGATTTAAATAATTGATGAAGTTACCCTACCTGTGCCACATTAACCAGGATGTGGCTCATGTAGTGATCCTGTTGCATCGCAAGATTTTATAAGTCTACGTTGACAATTTGCACAATATAAAAAAAAAAGAAGAAATAATGGGGCTAGATGCAGCAAAACTGTTATCATTTTTATATGAATAAGTGGTTCTTTTCAAATGTAAAGCGTAGGTTAATTTATATTTTGTATTACTGTAATCATTTTTATATGAATACATGGTTGTGGAACAAATCATCTGTGTTTCCATCATTTCTTATGGGGAAATTTGTTTGATATACGAGTGCTTTGGATTACGAGCACATTGCCGGAACAAATTATACACGCAATCCAAGGTTCCACTGTATTTCATAAAATCAGAGAAAAAAAGAGATTCTGCATTTGTTTTGTCAGTATGAAGCAGAAATATCAAGACTATTAAAGTTAGCACCGCTGTAATGCTGAAAACGACAAAGCTGAGCTCTGTTTCCTGGAACTCAAATGGCAGCTGTGGTGGCTCTGGCCCAGTTTAACCCCCAACTGCATGGGATTGTAATGTTTTCAAACAGACCTGCAAGTGATGCACAAGAGTCATCCTTCATCCTATTAATTTTTTTCTATTCGCTGCGTAGACTCTTATCTTTAGGGTAAGGTAGGGTAGAACTTCATTGATCCCACAGTGGGGAAATTCCAGTGTTCCAGCAGCAGTAAGGGACAAAACAGCTTGACACCATAGAATAAACACCATACACATATCTTGAGAAAACAAGATCCAGGTACCTAAAAACCAGACTAAAATATAGTATGTATGAAACAATCAAGAACAAGAATAGACCTTCCACAGTTTGTCCCTCAGACACAAGTCAAAAAAGAATAGTATTGTGAGGAATCAAGAAAAACAACCAGGAAATCAAGGACAAGAATATTACTCCTATAATTAATCCCGCAATGGGGGAAATACCTGTATTTCAGCCGTAAGGATCTCTGAGGAACTACTCAGAAATACCTAAAGCAGGGCAATGTACAGTATTTGAGAGAGATCAGGAACAATATATGCACATGAGCCTATTTACAATGCATTTCATCCCCAGGAACTGAATATTGCACCTCAGTCGACTATTGCATAGTCCCTCATAATTTCACATATCTTATCACTGCAGTGATGTATTGTACAGTCTGATAGCTGTGGGAAGAATGACCTATGGTAATGCTAGTTCTTGCACTGGGGATGTAACAGTACTGTGCTAAAAGAACTGTTCAGAGCCTCCACTGTGTGGTGCAGGGGGTGGGAGGGATTATGCATGATGGATGTTAGTTTTGCCAGCATCCTTCTGTCCGCCACCTCCTGGATGGAATCCAGAGGGCAGCCCAGGACAGAACCAGCTCTCTTAACCAGCTTATTAAGTCTCTTTCTGTCCCTGTCCGTGCTACCTCCTGCCCAACCCACAACAGCATAAAAAACTGCAGATGTCACCACAGTATCATAAAATGTCCGAAGTGCCCCGTGCACACCAAAGGACCTCAGTCTCCTCAAAAAGTGGAGGCGGCTCTGGCCCTTCCTGTACAGGGCATCTGTGTTGTTGGTCCAATCCAGCTTATTGTTGAGGTGGACACCCAGGTATTTAAAGGTGTCCACAATCACAATATCTGAGCCCTGAAAGCTCACCGACGTGAGTGATGGTGATTTCCACCGGAGTTCAATCACCATCTCTTTCGTCTTGCTGCTGTTCAGGGCCAGATGATTTTTCTCACACC